TATCTTCTTTCTTTTTTATGTTGATTTCGTGGTTTAATGGTGGCTATTGGCAGATTCGCCATGACAAAGCATTTGGCTTTTTGTGGGATCTCTGTTTTGATTTGATGGGAGTTTCATAAAAGTGAGGGTTCTGGATTTTTTTCTACATTGTGCTTGAAGCAGGACAGGATTGTCGAATAAGAGGATTAGAATCAGGATATTTGGGGGTCCTTTTTTTCTTCAGTGTTTGAATCCTCTGATTATAGTGCAACTTGTAAGAAATAGTTTCGATTGATTATTCCGAGCTCATTTTACAAGGTCGTTTTCTGTAATTATAAAATTTCAACCAACAAAATTCCTCGAATTCTTCTTCCTTTATAGGTACTCGGTCTGCAAATCCCATTCATTTTGAATTTTACTGGAGAAATCCTTTATTTTGACTGTTAAAATGGCATTTTTTTTATGGATTTCTTGTGGAGAACTGTACGAATCTACTGAATATGACTCATGGTGTGAAGAAACCCTAGTTTTTGATCATTTTAGATGTTGCAGGAGATTTTGTATTGAACTTAGCTGTGGTTGTGTTGAATCTGAGGATAATGAGAAGCTTCTCATTTGCTGTGATTGCTGATTTCTTATAATATTCATGTAAAAACTAGGCATGTTTTTCTTCACTTTCTTTATGTGATTTTTTATTTTATAGATCATTTAGAGCAAAAGCTCTATTCATTTCGACTGCAAATGCAATTCTTTTTTAACGGGATCAGCATATAGTCTTGTGGAAATTCCAGTTTCTAAATCACCAATGTTGATTTTCACTTTGTCCAATGTGCATAAAATTTTTGAGACGTATAGTTTGAAAAAGGTATGAATGGAAATCTTGGATTTGTCATTACAAGAGGATCCAAAATCCCCAGTTTCAAGTTTCAACTTCATTTATGTAGTTTTGTAGGTTGTCAGTTGTCTATGGATGAAAACATTTCATTTAACGCGTTTTTTATAGAAGCACTGTGTAAATTGAATAAGTTCCACCATAAAGTATCAAAAACCCTGCCAGCATGTGTAACTTCTTGAAGATCATCAGTGTTTTGAGGTTCCTCTGCTTGGGAGAATTGGTATAGTGATTTTTCTATGGTTTCAGGTTGGTATTTCGCAAAGAATACATTCCTTGGATTGTTTGGGCTTTATAATAGATGGAGTATAGAGTATTTAGAACTGGGTTTTTTGTGTAACATCAATAGTTTATGTTTCTAAGCCCTTATTGCAATCATAGTTAGCAAGTTGGGGACTATCAATAAATCAGCTCACCATAAAATCGGAAACAAATCGTTTTTATTTTAAAAAGTCGGATGAAAAATCAGGTAAAAAATATAGATCGGCAAAAAATACTTCATATAAAAATATCGCTAATATATCGGATTAGGCTAAAAAAATCGGAGTAAAAAAATCGGATAGATTTATAATATTAGAAATTTTGAAATTCTAAAAAATAAAAATTATGTCAAAGCCATCAATAACTAATTCATCCATGAAAACTTTTCTAGACCAACATAATTAAGTCAATTAATTTAGATGCCTTGTGAATCTCATCCAATCATCCAATATTAAATACATAGTTAACTAGTATATATCAAAAAAAATGTATCATATAATCTATCCATTAAATACTTTAAGAAACATCACACCTACTCATTACATACCAAAAACAAATATACTATATAAATTTATTCAGTAAATACTTTAACTATGGCATAGTAACAAATATACTATATAAATTTATTCATTAAATACTTAAACATCACACCTACTTAGCAGTACCAAAATCATGCACGATTTTTGTTTTGGGAAAATATCTCCTTATCCCTTATTTTTAATTTCCATATCTCATGAGACTCAAGAATTGAAAATATTACTTGTAAGCAAAAAGTCTCCATCTTTTCTATCTGACAACCCTCTGGACCATTTTGATCATAAATTTTTGACCCAAACAAACATTAAAATGATACCCTATTCAAACTCCATCTCTCTCTCTCTCTAAAACTCCATCTCTCTCTCTCTT